CCAGCCATTATTAGCCAGGCTGCGGTATAGCTACATCGACGACAGTGGCAACAGTACGAAAGTTCGGCTTTGCTCGCTATGGTTACCGGTACCTCCTGATTGGATCCTTTGATGAATATATACACAACCGAATATTGTCAATCCAGCCATTGTAGCCAGTAACCGTAGAGTTCATCAATCGGTGACAGTGGAACATACCGAAACACTCAGTTCCGCTTTACTGGCTACACTCCGTTACCGGTACCTTGCTTGATCCTTATGAGAATAACATGCACAACCAGAAATTGAATCCAGCCATCGTATCAGCTATCGTAGAGTTCATCGATCGTGACAGTGGCAACAGTACCGAACACACTCAGGTTCGACTTTGCCCGCTCACTCGTTACTGCTGATTGATCCTTATAACGAATACAGCACAAAACCGAATATTGTTAATCCAGCCATTGTAGCCGGCTACGTACAGTTACATCGGCGACAGTGTCAACAGTACCGAACACACTCAGGTTCCGCTTCTGGCTACACTCCGTTGACGGTATCTGCATTGGACATGCACAAACCGAACAATATGAATCAAGCCATTATAGCCGGCTGGGTATAGCTACATCGAGACATGGCAACAGTACCGAAAAGTTCGGCTTTCTCGCATGGTACCGGTACCTCGCATTGGATCCTTATGACAATACATACAACAACGAATATTGTCAATCCAGCATTGTAGCCAGTTACCTAGAGTTACATCAATCGGTGACAGTGGAACAATACCGAACACACTCAGGTTCCGCTTTACTGGCTACACTCCGTTTACCGTACCGTATTGGATCCTTATGACGAATACATGCACAACCGAAACATTGTCAATCCAGCCATCGTATCCAGCTACGTAGAGTTCATCGATAGTGACAGTGGCAACAGTACCGAACACACTCAGGTTCGACTTTGCCCGCTGCACCGGTTACCTCGCATTGGATCCTATGACGAAACATGCACAAAACCGAATATTGTTAATCCAGCCATTGTAGCCGGCTACCGTCAGTTACATCGGCGACAGTGTCAACAGACCGAACACACTCAGGTTCCGCTTTACTGGCTACACTCGTTACGGTATCATGCATTGGCATGCACAACCGAACAATAGAATCCAGCATTATGCCGCTTGCGGTATAGCTACAATCGACGACAGTGCAACAGTACCGAAAGTTCGGCTTTGCTCGCTATGGTTACCGTACCTCGCATTGGATCCTTATGACGAATACATACACAACCGAATATTGTAATCCAGCATTGTAGCCAGTTACCGTAGAGTACATCAATCGGTGACAGTGGCAACATACCGAACACACTCAGGTTCCGCTTACTGGCTACACTCCGTTACGGTACTTGCATTTGATCCTTATGACGAATATGCACAACCGAACATTGTCAATCCAGCCAGTCGTTGACATGTACATGCAGGAAAATGGGTACCGACACAGGAGTCACCACCAAAACACTAGGAAAAACATGGAAAGGATGAATCCGATAGGAGGATCCATTCTCCTCTGTGCGTACGAGTGTTGTCGTGTGGCCTCCGTTCATGCTGTTGTAGGGCTGGAGTTATTAGAGCCTCCTCCGTAGTGGTAGCCTCGATCGTCTTCGCTTCGTTCGTTCGTTCGTTTGTTCGTTCGAAAAGATCTCGACAATGGGATTTCCTTGGCCGTCGCAGTGAGAGATAGAAAGTAAGAAATAGATATGGTTTTCTCTTCTCTTCTGATACTGCAGAAACCGGGACTTACTCTTGTTTTTCAAATTACACCAACTTGCCGCATGGGCCGAGAACTGACTGCCTTCCCCGCGGTCCATAGGATTGAATAAGGGATGGCTTTCGCTTCTACACCGGAGACGACCGGTTGAGTGAGGCTTGGATAAAGAAATAGAGGTGCGATCGATCGATTCGAATATAAAACAACTCACCTGTTGACGCCGAGCTTGGAATTCTCTCTTGATACCATAGAAATCCAATGAGGATTCATAATGTTCGGTTGTGCATGTTTTCGTCATAAGGATCCAATGCATGATACCGTCAACGGAGTGTAGCCAGCAAAGCGGAACCTGAGTGTGTTTGGTACTGTTGACACTGTCGCCGATGTAACTGTACGGTAGCCGGCTACAATGGCTGGATTAACAATATTCGGTTTTGTGCATGTATTCGTCATAAGGATCCAATGCGAGGTAACCGAGTGCAGCAAGCAAAGCCGAACCTGAGTGTGTTCGGTACTGTTGCCACTGTCGCCGATCAATGTAACTCTCTGACTACGGTACCGTGGCTGGCTACAATAGCTGGATTGCATGTATTCGTCATATGGATCCAAGTAGCGAGCAAACTGAGGAAACAGGAGACGAAGCTGAAAAAAAGCCGAATCATTACTCTATCAAGATGATGCTATCTCCTCTTCTTCACGGCAGCTACTACTCCTTCATGACTACTACCGGTACTACTACTCCACCATGGCAGGCTCCTCTTAGGTGGTTAGCGCCAGCCATTTGGCGATCGGTCAGGAGCTTCCTTCCATTCGACGCAGACTTCTTCTTCCACGGAACGACACGGATCGACCATGGCGCCTCTTTCACGGAGCGACAACAACAAGCGACGAATACTACTACTAGTACAACAAGCAACGCCTCGACCATGGCGCCTCTCCTTCCACAGAGCGGCGCCGTCGAAGGTGTATATCCTCATTGTCGCTCTATTCAGCCGTGGACTTGCCATAGATCTCGGATCTCGGATCTTGGTCCAGTCGGATCCCCGCTATTGGAACCGAGATCGCCATCTTCCCGGAAGACTAACAGAGATCCGCGGGGATCCTTGAGGCCAAGATCCGAGATTGGCCAAGATCGGCGAATGCGTAGGGCGAGATCCACAAACCGTCACAGAACAATCGCCAAATAGAAAATGAGGATCCGGAAAAATGACCTAGTAATTTTAAAATTCATGCAATTGGTTTTAAATTTACTCCCAAAACTGCCTTCCAGTAGTTGTCCCCAAGCTATGAAAAATCGTTGACCATTGCAGTACTGCCGGTAGTAACCGGTACCAGTACGTGCCGCGGTACCGGTACCAGTACTAGGTCTAGCTCGAGAGAACAGTACAGACATGTAGCAGACCAAATAAATGTGACCAAAATGACTTTCGGGTCACACTGATTTCACCGCGATCACGATGTGGCCAAGTCAGAAGACCTTTACTGCATGGACGCAAGAAGCCCAGCACAACAATTGCCCAAATAATGCTAGGAAGCCAAGAGTCGAGTCGAGTGTCGGTGTGGTTTTATCCTGCATTCATTATTTTTCGAGAGCAGTTGATCAGAGTCCTCCTACCGGTAGCCAGTAGAATTATAATTCAGAAGAGACACAACAAACCATGGGTAGCAGCAGGTCCCAAAAAGTCGTAATCTTTCTGCTGGCAGTCAATCTGTTAGCAGTTGTGTATGCCATTGTAGTCTACAACAAGACCCTTGAGAGTGGCATGAGTCGAGCTGCCAGCACAGCAGAGAAAAGAGAAGAAGCCAATGTACCAGTTCACAATGTGTCGATTGGATGGACTCGTCCCAATACAATTTACGGCCTCATCCATGTGGCCAAAACGGCAGGAACAGAAATCAACAAAATGCTCTCCAACAAGTACGAACGAGTCTGTGGGAACAAGGGTTACAGTTATGATGCCGTCCGACGAGAGAAGAACAGATATGCGCATGCTGCCGATTGGGTAGACATCATGTTCCGTCATCCAAAAGCTCAAGCACTATGGGGAGGCGGGGTTTGGAACCGTGCCAGAGTTCCCATTGAGATCATGGAGGAACGAGGTTTTGAAGACTGCGACTATATTGCCCATGAAGAATCGGCGGATAAATGGGAACAAATCTACAAGCAATGGCCTATAGAACTCCATGTTCCTTGTCGGGAGCCAATCAGTCATCTCATGTCCATGTGCAATTTTCAAAAGAATTGGGTCAAGATAATCAAGGATGACTTCAACTGCAACGCTCCAGATCTCATAAGGGAGATCCAAAAATGTGATGTCGGCCTGTGGAGGATGCACAAACAACTTCTGAATCAACAGAATGTCACACTGAAATGCTTTGATCCCATGCCTCCACAACGATATTTGGATTACATGGACAAATTTCTGCAACCCAAACGGGTACAGTTGAAGGTTAAGGACCGAGTGATAAACAGTGTAGCCCACAACAAGTCGGAGGAATGTGTGTGGCACCAGACGGAAAAGTGGCGGAACAATTTGATTCAAATCATGCGAGAAAATCACTTATTCTACAAGTTTTGCCACGATTGTTTGGGAACCAGCGATGAGTTGCCACTGGCGCCAGTGGCAGCTGTAAACAGCAACACAAAGTAAATGAATTCAATACCGTAGTTTTGATTTTCATGGAGACCGGTGCTATCATGTCTATTTGTATTTGGTATTCCTGAGGCCATCCTACCAGTAGTCCAACTGAGGAGCTCCCTTTTCAGACAATCCTCGAGTTTACTCTGAAGGTGGCGGTTTTGTGCCTCATCAAGAGCAAACCAACAGTTGCCCTACAAAGATCCTGCCATGTACACCTGAAACCACAAAAAGACCTTTGTCCTTACCACCGTTGCATCCAGCGTCCTGTTTGAGGTCGATCTGCAGCTCTCTGCTCTGTTCGGGGTTTGAAAACGTGACTGAAAGATCGTGACTGACCAACTTTGAAACTGGTGCGCAATTCGGACAGAACCTCGGTCGTCGCTCCTCATCGGTCTCTGTCGAGCTTTCGACGATGGGCATGGACTCTCAAACATAGAAGCAACCTCCACGATGAAAGGGGTTTCGATGCATCATTCTTGCAAAAGAATGAGAGTCTCATTATTCTGATCTCATTATCACATCACTGCGTAAACCTTCAACTAACTTTACCTTTCGAATCGACGTTAAAAATCGCGATGAACTCTTCCTTTGACTCCATTCTTCTATCGCACGACATGAAAGATGACTTGAGCTGTGGATACGTCGGAGATCAATGTCTTTGTGGCTGCTGGGAAGATGCCATGGCAACGAACCGATACGCTCGAGCCATGAGCAAGAAATCTACCGGTTCCAGTGCCTTCCAAAATGAACTTCGTAAGTCCGACAGCGATGACAGCAGTACTTGTAGCACAGGCACGACAATGGACGATGACGAATCCATCGCGGACATGTTCCTTGATGACGTTGATGAGGATTCGTCCGATTCTGGAGAGAAAACGAAGTGCTATAAGATCTCCGTTTTTAACAAGGGAGAACCTCAACAAGGAGAAAGCAACCATGACGATACAGTCCTCCGATTCAAGATCGCGGTGGAAGGAAGTCGTGGCATGTATCTGTCCGATATCGACGTACTTGTCCAGCACGTCCAAGAGCTGATTATGGATGATCAGAATGTCCAGTTCGAAGCACATTTCCTGGACTCTAGCTTGGTTGTCTCAGGCAATGCGGAGGACGTGCTGCGAGTTATCAAGGACTGCGACGCGCAAGCAAGTAGCATTCAGTAATCAAAAGCTGCTAGTGTACCTCGACAACATCATTAATACTTTACTTAGTTAAACCAAATTGCAACCATAAACTCAATCCAACAATCCAACTTTATTCTTTCTTTTCTTCGCTTCTTCAAAGGGTTTCCAACACGTCAATCCCGGCGCCGAGGTCATCAACCATCACTTTCAACTCGTCTCGTCTCCGTTCTACAGTCGAGCTCACGACCAGGCATCGTTCAATGTCTCGGTCAGTTACCTCGAACAGAGCCCTTTTGGTGGCTTCAGGGAATTTGCGTACCATGTCCCAGCACTCCATCGGGATGCCGTCGATGAATCGCTTGAGAGCCACCTTGCCGTATGCATCGAGTGTTACCTGCATATCTTCTGCCATATGCTCATCAATCGACTTGCGTTGGTTCCGGTCGAAGACAGCGTCAACGATGCTCTCAATACTCTTCTTGCTCATGGTATCGCTTGAAATCGAGCTGGGTCCTAAGCCGAGAGCATTCTTTAGTTGGGCAAGGAATGGCTCAAATCTTTTCTTCGTCAGATTCTCAAAGAGATAGTGGTCTTGCGTGTATGGAGTGCGCTCCTTCTCGATGAAGTGCTCTACTTGCTCCTCGGCTCTCTTTGCAAGCGCCGCTGCTTTGTCCGTCAGCTTTCTACGGATAAGAACTTGCAGACTTGGAAATCGTTTAAGCTGTTTCGAGCTGCTCAGTGCATCATCAGTGGCCTCGAGAAGGAGCTGATGGGCCTCTTTGACGAGCGCTTGACTCGGCTTGACATATTCACCGTCAATGCACATCATAACAATAGCTTGGAAGGCGGCACTGTTGACGAAGACAGGGAGCTCGTCAGTTCGGTTCTTCTTCATCCAAGGCAGGATCCATGAAGGGTCCCTCTGGACTTTCTTCGCCGAAACAGCTTTGAGCTCATCGTAGTTGCCGCAACCATCAGAAATGCAAACATTACCAGCGTTCGAGCGCCACGTTTTCCCTTTCGCGTTTCCTTCTTTCAAGTCTTTGCACGAAGCCTTCAGGACAAACTCATACTTGTTATGGCTCTCTCTTCCTTGGTAGTCAATGAAGTAGTCACCGGTGTCATTCTTCCCAACCACCGTACCGTGGACGGTGCCTTGACCTGACGAAACAACTACCTCCGTTCCTATTTCAATTGTCGCAATGTGGGTAAACTTTGCTTTCTTCAGGGCTCGTTGGTATTCGTCGCATTTTCCATGGAGCTGGGATGGCAACGTGTCAGAATCTGCTGAAGTTCGAACACGCTTAGTGGACGATCGCAAACTGGTACCTTGAACCATCATGGCAATGCAGGGAAGGAGCTCATCGCAGACCTCGCGATAGAACATCTTCTTTTCCCTGTCCGACTGTGGGATTTCGCCAATAGAAGCCAGCTCTTCAGCTGCCTGATCATGCTTCTCCCTGATCTCGTCAATGATGGATGGAAGCTTTTCCCGAATCAGGCCGAGCTGTAGCTCCCCTAGCTTCTTTCTCAGAAGTTGAGTACCAAACAGATTTCTCTCCGTTACTTGTCGCCAAGGCATTTGGTTTCGAAAGAAAGCTTCCTCCAATTGCAAGCTCTCTTGAATTGAAAGCTTCTTGTCAAGCTGCGCCTGACCACGGCCTTTGACCATATGGAACCCCATTTGAAACTTGGCTGTTTTGCGGCCCAAAAGAAGGTCGACCACATCACCTTCTGCGCCAGTATCAATGAGATCAGGCTTTGTGATGACTGGAATCGTTCGACTGGTTTCGGGGTCTACGTTTTGCGCCTCCGCCATGATTTGGGAGTTGTGAAAGTCCACATTGGCAGGAACGACCGCAAGAATGACACAGCGGGAGTTGGTCAAGTAGTCATCAATCAGCGCCTTGATATCCTCGACAATCGAAGCACTTTCATTGACTCCACGGGTGCGGACAATGCCAGGTAGATCAACCAGTGTCAAGTCTTCGCAGAGTGGCCCCTCCACTTTCACGTGAACAATATCTCTTGCCACCTCCTTTCCAGACGCAGCAATGATATGTTTCTGTGCATTTGAAATGGAATCTGGAAGTTCTTCCCAATCGTCGTCTTTTACTACCAAAGTCTTGAACTCAATATCCTTCTTGTTCTTCCCTTCAGGGATGTCTTTCCACTGGACATTAATGACAGCCTTTCGCGTCTCTGCCCGGTTCATTTGAAGCATGATGGGACATCGAGTTGTGAGCTCACTGGAACTAGGCAGTTCCACTCCAGAAATGGAAGACAAGAGCGACGACTTTCCACTAGACGTCTCGCCCATGACTGCAATCATCGGCAGCTCCACATATTTGGAGACGTTGGTGGAAGCCGTCAACTTGTCCAGAAAGGCGCGAATCTGTTCGTTCCCAGTGAGCGTCATCGCTCCTCGATCCTCGATCTTCTCTTCAAAATCGTTCCAAGCAACTCACCAGCCCTGTTGTTGGGCTCAAAAAGAAACGAATGGACAGCACTGAATGAAAGAGCTCGACTTACAACCTTCGATGTAAGCGTGGATGGATCCTACGGTCGGTTATCGCTCATCCGTAGTATCTTAACTAAAAACTAGCTCCGCCTATCCCCGGCCGACTGTGCGAGAAGCCTAGCTACTAGTATAGATCACGGTTCCACTAGCTAGCAATCCAGTTGGCTAACATGGATGCCTTTCACTAATAAATCCGTAGCTCAACAATATCTTCGCTGATTGCCGCCACTCCAGGTTGAAAATTTCAAAAGGTACGTAGGCTACCCTCATGCTGCAGCAGCAATTGTTGACAAGGTGCTTGTACCGGTATACCAGGTACCAGGTACCTGGTACCAATCCGTACCGTGTTCCTTCGTCGTGGAAACCAAAATAGGTTGGTCCTTTTTAAGAGAAATAAATGAAGCCAAGGGAAATCGCTATCCAATTCGGTTCAGTTTGGGATTCAATAAACCGAAACACAAGTCTAGCACCAATTCGCATTTACCGTGATAAAACACCATGTTATCTGCACCGAAACACAAGTTTAATACCGAACCACAAGTCTTCGGTTGTTTCAGTTGACAACTTCGGTTTGGTTGCAATAAATCGGGATTACGGAGCCTTCATTCTTCTCCACACGTTCCTATTGTAAGCCAGCAAAACTGGTAGTATCCTTACTAAAAGACCAACCGAGACCGCGTACAGGCACAGAATGATTCGATTCAATCGAAACCAATCAATCGGCGAGATACTTCCTAGAACAGCGATCGAAACCCCACCGACTTTTAATACTAAAGCAACCAGACCACATGGCGTCTCCATCAACAACGCCGAAGAGACGGTGCGTCGAGCAAGACTCACAGTCCCCGGTGTCCGCTAATAAGACGAATGGAATTACGCCGTTGCACCGTCAAAGGCTCATCTACCACGAGAGGATTTGCTGGAGGAGGTTTTCGAGAATGCCGAGCGGCATCAGATCGTTGTTGTTGGTTCCCCGGCTTCGACTGGCAAGACTTCTTTGTTGCAGTTAGTCAGAAAGAAATTGATGGAAGAGAAGAAGGACGAGGTTCAAGTTGTGAGATTCTATATGGAATCAGATAAGACAAGCGAGCATTACAAGAAAGTGATTGGCGAATATTTGCAGGTCATTTCACAGCAAGAAGGCAATGCGGACAATGTAAACAAGCCTGTGTGGTTACTTCTTGTTGGTTGCTAGTAACACTCTAGCTTAGTAAAGGTAAAATACTGTTTTACTGTTAAGCTATTTCCAAGAAGTGATCTTTCTCCATGTTTTCTGGGATTGATTCAACTTCAAAGGATATAGTGAAGGGGGTGACCATATAGATCAGTTAAACTCCCATGTATTAACTAGAGAATAGATATAGATATCCCCTATAACTAGATTGGGATAAACGACTAATTTGTATTGAGGTGTCTGTAATACAACCTCCAACAACTCCTGCACGGTTCCATAAAAGATACCGTGGAACGAATAATTAATGTAATGTTGGTTGCTCCATAAAGAACAGTTGTTGGTCGAGAGACCGTTTGCTAGTTGCTCGGCATTCCGCTTGGTGGCGAGAGCTTGTCATCCATAGCAATGCTGACAAATCTGTCACAGTCAATGTTGACATGTGGACAGTGTCGTATGAAAAGCAACTGTGGCCCACTCCTGTGAGTGTTGCCACTCTTGTATGACTTGCTGTGGCAATTGATGCCGTCACTTGATTTTGCTGTATTCGAAACTGGAAGTTCCGATCACTTGTTTAACCGTGGACTGGGAAGTTCCGGTCACTCTCTCTCTCCATCTCCTCTTTT